GATCCAGGTAGTTTAGTTTTTTAGCCGAAAGGCACTGAGGGTGGTCACAGCAAGAGTTTTTTTGCGCCCTCAGTGGTTCTTTTACGTCCCCATTGGTCTTAGTATTACTGAAGACGGGACCGCCACTTATATTTGAGTAAGAAATGCACAAATACACTCAACGTATTGATTGTTCAACATAATTCACCCATCTACGCAACACCATCCCAATTCCACACTCCCAGCACCTTTCTACGCCCACTCCCACCCCAAAACTTTCCTACTCACACTCCCACCCACCCAACACCTTCCCACTCCCACCTCCTCTCCCACTCTCACTAACGCCTTCCTCACCGTGAATCGATCGTGACTGCGGTTCTTGTTTCCGATGTAGAAGTCGGAGTGTTCGATGTCGACGAGCGCGGGGAAGGCTCGCTTGACTGTCTTGCTGCGCTGCGTGCCGCAGTCTACGGCGTACGATATCTCGTCTCCCGTCACCGTGACGATGAGCGTGTGCCACTGCGAGTCAAAGATGCTCAGCTCGGAGAAGGTCGTCAGACGCTTGTGCTTCTTCTTGTGATCTGCAACATTAGCATGTCGGCGGTGAAGACTTTCAGTGCTTAGCTCGCGTGTGTGTTATTAAAAGCGCGTAATGCTATTAGTGAGGTGATTGTAGTGTAGGGCAGTAGTAGTATCGCCGGGTTTTGATGTTGTTCGAAAAAAACGATGGTTTACTTCTTAGGATGAAAGATTAAGCGCGGTGACTCTCGCGCGGCTTGTGAAACTTTAATTAATTATTCTGAGCTTGGTCGGTTGTGTGCTTGTGCGTGTGTGTGCGCGCGGACGCGCGCGCGGGTGTGCGTGCGTGTGCGTATGCGTGTGCGTGCACGCGCGCGTGTCTGAGTATGCGCGCGCGTGTGTGTACAACGTACTGTTTCACAGTCAGCTGAGGCCTAGCACAGTGACACCGACTTCACGCACGCAAGGTGGGTATACGTTGAGTGTATTTGTGCATTTCTTACTCAAAGATAAATGGCGGGTCACTGCTTGAGCACTCTATCCTTTGCAAAGACACAAAGGCTATCTTTCCCGTGAAGCGTTATTATTGAGATCTGAGTTTAGGCTTGATGTTCGCTGTTGTTCAGGTGCAATCAACCCGTCTCTATCTGCGTGTGCAATTGCGTATGCAATTGCGTGTGCCCATCGACCCCATGCCGCCGTGAGGCGTGAGTAGATGAATGACTGATGGGTAGCGATTATCTAAGCTGCGAAAGGCCGAGACGCTTGGCAAAGTAAATATAGATATATAATACGTAGTAATATATATATATATATATTGACGAGAATATCGCCCGAGCGTTTCGCGCAAGTGAGCTAATGTTAAAAGTTCAGTTGTGCAGTTATGTCGTAACTGCTCATTTTAGCAAATGACAAATGAAGAAAGTCGTTCAACGTGCGGATAGTAATAATATGTTAGGCGGTGATATATACCCAGCGCGGCTTATGTAACCTTGCCTACGGCCGAGCGGCTCCTCTTTTAGACGGACAGCGATGCGCAAACATCAATAATTATTAGATCAATTAAACCCTCCGGCCTGGGGTGGAGTGGTGGGGAAGATTTGCCCAGGAGTCGCAATTTCTCACTCGGCGATGGCTGCATGCAGAGAACAATGCAACGGAAAAGATTTTCGGCGGCTCGCTCTACATGTTTCGCGGCAGACGTGCATGGATATGGCAGTCGACATAATCCGTGATTCCAAGTCGGCCGTCGCCAGTCGCAAATGATTCCCTACGGTAACAATGCCGGCCGTCTGGCATTCGCAGCCGCTTCTCTTCACAGACAGCGACCCCCGCGGGCGGGAGTGTGGTCCGCGCTCAGCGAACGCCAGACAAAACGCGGTGCGTACCCACCGTCGGCGCATGACAATCCAAATGGCAATATTCGAGCGCCGTCGTAAGCGAATCGTGATAACATATGAAATTATGCTCGGTTCTTCTCAACTGCGCACATCATGGCGTACCGCAGGTCCGGCAGTAAATGCCATGTCTATGCCTATATTGTAGCTGCATACAAAACGTAACGAATCCTAACACACACGACTGTTATTAAGCTTGTTTGCCGAGTGCCGGGCTTAGGTTAGACCGCCTCCCAGCGCCTCGAACGTACGAAGAAACATCTAGCTAGTACTAGCTCACTATCATAAACGGCTCGGCGCTATGCAACTTTGCACGACCTTCATCGACGATTTATCCGCCGAACCATCACGGAGGCGCCAACCACCGCGGTCGCTACTAACCGCCGCGGATGGGACGACAGCCACCGCATGGCACTACAGCAAATATAACAAATAACACCACAAGCATTCTAAGAGCCATCACCGACTGACAATCTTAATTATACACAAGCATCATAAACCAGCATTCACGAGGTGGTTGATCGCATCACATTGTCGAGAATTGCTAGATGTGAGATTGCCGCACAGCCGTACACCATCGGAAACAAACACTAGCGCGAAATTCAAAATCAGAGAGCGTATGACACTACCTTAGAATACGCTTTGGTACAATGTATATTCGTATACGCGTCGACCGCCCGCATCGAACCGCTCCTCCCTCCGACAAATGCGGGGCGGTCATTCCGGAGACGGGCCGCCGCCGCGCCGCCTGCTGATTAAACATAACGTGTGTTTGTGTTGAGCGTTCAGTGCCCATCACTTACAGTGGGCGAGCATCAACCCTCTAGCGCTGCACAGGCCGGCTGCGGCGCGCAGCGAGCAACAACGTCAACAGCTTTTCCACGCGTTCAAATTAAACAATATCACGTGTCGATCACGTGCCGATTCCACCGCAGGCTGGAGATCTTACACTGATTGCGGAACGGCTTGAATTTTGTGGGCCAGCGCGTAAAACAACGTTAATATACCGATGAGATGTATTGTTTGCTCCTTGGCGAGTTCATTATACTCTTGAATTTCAAAGCCTCTGCCGCCGATTTTTGTCTAGACTATGACTTCGGGGTCGAGCGGCCGGGTCTCTCTGCGTATAGAGATCGGCTTTAACGAGAAAAAATGTCTCCGACATCGTCTTATACCGGTGTACGCGTATACATACCTCGCTTATGGCAAACTTCCCGTCCCTAGCATCGGCGCACATGGTGCAAACTGGCGCGCTCTAAACAGAATGCGTGGCGTATTAGCGCATGGACATCGGAGATTTCGATCTTTTATTGCTCATGCGCAATGTTAGAGGGGACGTTTTCTATCACGGGGGCGTTAGATAACAATGCCTACACCTCGGCTGTATACAAGGCACGTCTGATCAGAATTTTGCCCGTCTATCGATCGGTGCTGCTACTATACATCGATTTTAATTCTTATCGTTGTTAATCATTCAACCCTACACCAGCCATGACCGCCGCTGTGAGTGTTTCCGCGAGCGGTGTTGTCACCCTCGGCGTACCTGTGAGGTATTATTTTGTGATCGCTCCAAACTAAAACATACAACGTAAGATTTCTTGAAATGCCTCCGTTTCCAAATTTGTCAGCCGCCGCGCATTACCGATAGCGCGATTCTAACACGTGAGTGCGCATCGTCTCTCTCTCTCTCTCTCTACTCTCGTCACTCCTCCCAGACGCTGTGATGGTACTGGATCCGTCCCCTCCTCTATCTCCTCTTCCTCCTCTTGTGTGTGTGGTGGTGGTGTGTGTGTGTGTGTGTGTGGGACGTGTGTGTGTGTCGTTCGTTGTGGTGTGTGCGAATGTGTGTGCATGTGCAAGAGTGTAGAGCGTGCGCGCATGCGCGCTTGTGTATATACGTGCGCGTTCATATAGCATCGTGCGCGTGTGGCTATGCGCGTGAGTATGTGCTTGCATGGGTCTACGCGTACGTGTGTATGCGTGCATGTGCGTGCGTGCGTGTACGTGCGTGCGTGTACGTGCGTGCGTGTACGTGCGTGCGTGTACGTGCGTGCGTGTACGTGCGTGCGTGTGCGTGCGTGGCGCCTTCGCGCTGCGTACATACCTGAGTACTCGTACAGAACGATGCCCGGTGCGATCCTCAGACCCAGTCTCACGGCACGCAGATTCTCCCTTAGCACGGAGAAGATGTACTCCGTCTTCCTGTAGCGATCGTTGACCTTCATCGTGACCTGCGATAATAAAAAATAAAAAATAAAAGTTGCAGTTCTCGCTTGTCACTTGTCACTGCTCACAGTCCTGTCCAGTGACGAGGATACCGGGCGGATATGGCATATGTGGTGAACTCTTTTGCAACTGGATTGCCCGTGGGGCTGTGGAGGTGTGATGTTGATGCCATACGATACTACTACTATACTACTACTGCTCATAGTGTCACACTACTGGTGACACGTCGAGTAATCGCTAGCTGACAACCGTATTAGGGATGGCATGAATCCATCCAGCTAGCACTGATTAAACTGCGGCACGATACACATATGGGGGAATATACGGGGAATATACGGGAGATTTACAGGGGATGTACGGCGGATATACGGGAATGTATGAAGAATGTACGGGGGATGTACGGGGAATGAACGGGGGTGTACGAAGAATGTACGGGGGATGTACGGGGGTGTACGAATAATGTACGGGGGTATACGGGAGACATACGGTGGATATACAAGGGATATACTGAGGATTTACGGGGAGGATGGTACATGTTTGTCGTTTTCCGATGATGCTGGCAGCTTCACAATGTCTTATCCGCAGAAAATCGGTACATGCGTATCCTGACTAACAGAATATTTGTGCTGAATTGAATGTTTATCCAGGTAAGGCAGAAGCGTTTGAATCGACGATCATAGATAGGTGATCTCGCTTGACACGTTGACAACATATGTGACGATTATGACACGAAAAGGGTTCCACATATAATGCAGCGCAAACCCGTCTGCTCGCGTTCTGAACCCACGCGCTAGTAATAATAATATAATTAAAAAATATAATAAAATAATTAATAAATAATATTAATTATAAATAAATATAAAGGGCACAGTGCAGAATAAACACCGATCACAACGACTATAACCGGATCCAACGCGTTCTTCCTACGCGATCTAACTCTTTACCTCTCACTCACTCGCTCACTGGTCGCTGAGAGCTCCCAGAGATCGGCTATAGATGTTACGCTATACTTCACTATACTCTTTACTACACTCGGCTATACTTTCGCGTTCGATGGTCTTTGCCGCGCCACGTTTTCAGCGGTGCCAACGTGTTGTTCAATCGTAAGCAAAGTTAATCGTATAATTCGTTTTCAGCTGTAACGTGTATTTTCCGTTCTTAAGCAAAGTTAATCGTATAATTTCGGGGAAGCGTCGGTTTGAATACGGCCCGTGATTGAGGTGCAGCGAGTGCTTCAGTCTTCACTGAAGCATGAAGCTACAACTTGCCTAGCTCCATTAACGTCGCGTTCAATTTAGTGGTGTATCTGTCCAGCGTAACAACTAAATCCGTACTCGGTAGCGGTATCACCATTAGCGCAAACACCAGCAACAGCGTCAATACCAATATCATCATCATCATCATCATCATCATCATCCACATTGACATCGACATCAGCAGTAATATCATTACTAATATTAACACCAACATCAACACCAACGCCAACACCAACATCAGCATCAGCACTAACATCAGCAATAACATCGGCAACAACACCAGCAATAACATTAGCGTCAACATCAGCACCATCACCATCACCATCAACAACATCAGCAATAACCTTAGCGTCAAATCAGCACCATCACCATCACCATCAACAACATCAACAATAACCTTAGCGTCAAATCAGCACCATCACCATCACCATCAACAACATCAGCAATAACCTTAGCGTCAAATCAGCACCATCACCATCACCATCAACAACATCAGCAATAACACGAACATAAACATTAGCATCAACATTATCACCAACATCAGCACCAACACCCGCACCAATATTAGCATCACCAATAAGTTACACAAATACTATCCCTAACACCAGCATCACCATCAACATTAAGATTATCCCCAACATCAGCAATAACATCAGCACCAACATCAGCACCAACACTATCACCAACATCAGCACCAACATCAGCACCAACTTTTCATCGCCTACATCAGCACCAACATCAACATCAACATTATCACCAACATCAGTATCAACATCATCATCACCATCATCACCAACACTATCACCAACATCAGCACCAACATCAACACCAACATCAGCATCAACATGATCATCCCCACGATCACCAACACTATTGCCAACATCAGCACCAACATCAACACCAACTTCAGCACCAACATCAGCACCAACATCAGCACCAACATCAGCACCAACATCAGCACTAACATTAGCACCTACATCAGCACCAACATCATTACCAACATCAGCATCAACATCAGCACCAGCATCAGCACCAACATCAGCACCAACATCAGCACCAACATCAGCACCAACATCAGCACTAACATTAGCACCTACATCAGCACCAACATCATTACCAACATCATCACCAACATCAGTATCAACATCATCATCACCATCATCACCAACACTATCACCAGCAACAGCACCAACATCAACCCCAACTTCAGCCCCAACATCAGCACCAACATCAGCACCAACATCAGCACCAACATCAGCAC